ATAGAATATGTTATGCTAAGTTTGACATGCATAATATTTAATGCAAATCACTAGAAAGCGATTATATTAATATAAAAAAATTAACTAAAATTTTGATTTACCAAAACTCTTTTGCATAATATTTAATGCATATCACTAGAAAGCCTTAATATTAATATAAAAAAATAAACTAAAATTTTGATTTACCAAAACTCTTTTTATAACTTTCTATACGTATTTTTTTCTTATTCCAATACGTATACTGAAAACACCTTAAGTCCACCTTAAGTCCAATCTAACATTAATCTTTGGAGAAGCAAACAATCAAGAGGCCTTATAATCCTTTATAGCATTTTGAACTTACTTGCAAATTATTGAGATTTATTTTGAAATACTTAAGACTATAACACTTTCTAACTTTCTAACTTTCTAACCTGAACTCTAGGTCATACAGTGACCTCAAGGTACTTATATGACATACTGCCTAACCAATAGATATGCAGTCAAATCCTTTATCGACCAATAGCAACGATACCAATAGTTTTATTTTATTTTTTAATTTTGATTTAACTATTTTATTTTAATTTAATTCAGAAGTTATTGATTGAAAAAATGAACAGGCTAACTGACTTTCGAAATCTAAAAGGTGGGATCCAAATTATTTTGCAAAGTTTTCAATAATTATTAAGATAACTTTTATAGCTTAGAAGAAAATATGTATAACTCTAGAATGGACTGATTGGAATTCAAATATCATCCAAAAATATACGATTAAAAGATAATGGTTCTTGTAAGTACTCTCATAGACATCAGGAAACAACAGACCACATACTAATAGTACGCACTGCGCATAAAGCCGAATCAATTATGTGTGGTCTGAGACTTTTAATTCGTACAGCTAATGTATGAGTATATTCAATATTTTGAACTCGATTTACGGAAATCAATATCGGAAAGAGATTTTTACCAGATTTTAAAATTAGTGCAAGTTTTTCTTTTCTCTGTTTAATTATTTCTTATATTTAATTATTCGTAAATCATTTTTGGAACTACAAATACCAAGTGTTGAACTCGTACTCTACAAATTTAAAGATCAGAGTCAGTGTACATTAGGTAATAGGCCTAAAATCGTACTTGACTTGTGTGTTCAAACCTAGAGTTTTGTTTTAAGCTAAATATATTTGATTAATTAGTGGATAAGCACGTCAGATAATTGGTGTAATATAGAAAAATAATAGATATATAACTGACGCAGCAGCTTATGGAGTTTTAAGTCCTAACTCAGTTGAGTAACTATTTTTATTTACATATTGAAATCAGTAGAGTGGCATGTATTTTAATAAAAATTAATATCCTTAACCTATAGTAAGATATGTTGTAGCAACCCACAACTTGTCTGTTATTTAATTCAAACCTATAGAAGCAGTTCTAAGAAATAGTCTTATGAGAGTGTTAAGCAATTACACCACATAAGTAATTTTTATAATTATAAAGACAACTACCTCACCTTGAGATATAGGAATGTTTAATTCGGTCACATAAACATATTTTTTTTTTGTGGTATATAAAACGTCTCACTCAAATATTATCAAGTCTCTCGTGACTAGTATCGGATTTGTCTCAAATGGATTAACTACTGCGTTTGCTTCTGTATTTGGCATTAGTCAATGCGCGTTGAGTCCAAGAATCAATTGCAACAATTGCACATTGTGATCAATTGATTAATATATTAAGTAAACAAAAGATAAGACCGGCCGGTGTCAACTCGACAGGCACATGCGTGTGGACTCTAAACACCGAATTTCGTGCACTGCCACGAATCGTGTGCATGCGTTTATGGCACAAACGATTATTCCAAATTAACACATTCGCCTACTTTTGACGCGTGTTTATCTGCGCATTCGAGGAATAGTGTTTGCATTTCGGAACGGAGGCATGCACATAAGATACGAGTGCGAGTATCCGTTTTCCCTTAAAGCAGTTGCTATGGAAAAGCAGAATGCAGTTGCTGCCACTAAGGCTATTGCGGCTACTGAGACTACTGATGCCAGGCATAGGAAAAGGGACAATAAATAGACAAACGATGTGATGGGATGTTCCGATCCAATGTCAAGGTAATTTATTAATGCAGCAATAAAATTGCACCCGTACAGTGCGGTCGAACGGATGCACGAATGTGGGTACAACAACTCAATTGCAAATGGAATAAGGTATTTGATTTTATAGCAATACACAAAAACAAAAAAAAACAAAAACAATATTAAAACAAAAAAAAAATTTAATGCAACAATCTGTAATCTTGTGTCTTCTCAATCAGAGAAAATTGTTTTTTTCAGAGAAAATTAGCACTAAAGATACTTTAGCGAAATGTAATTATTAATGAAGTCACACGTTTGTTTTTTTAAGAAAATATATAATAATATAAATATCCTTTTTTTAGGTAGTTAGTTTATAATTTAGTTGTTAATGGAATGACATATGAAACTTTTCGCCTTTCAACCCTTATATAACATATGCGAATTCTAACCATACAAAAACAAAAAAATCGTACCGAAGGAGGCCCACATTTGCAAAATCCGAAGGGCTAAACATATGGCATTTCAACGCAATATATGGATTAGAGGGTGGGTGGCTTATTCAACCAAATTTAAACATATTGGTTAAAATAATCTGATCAAATACTTGCTTCTTAAATGAGATGAAAAGTATCTCTGGCTTTATTTAATCAATTGACTTTTTACGGATTATTACCAAAAACCTTATGAGCATAAATCATATATTTGGGTTTAAGCACTTTGAAAAAAATATATAGTGCAATACTTGTTATAATGTTGTTTATTCTTATTTACAGTTTACATGGAACCAATATTCCTTGGTAAAAGATGAATGGTAATTCTAAGAACAAATATTTGATATTAAAAAGTTGAGTTATGTTCAGCTGACAGATCAACAGTTTGGAGGTTAAATTTGAGTTTTTAAAATGGGAATCAGTATAAGTTTTGGAAATTCAGGAAAACACTTTATGTTTTATTAGACTTGAGTAACTAACAGCTTTGAGGGTTCTGCCCTTATATTCCATTCCACCAATTTTCATTTAAAGCGCTGAAGGCATTTTAGCTACCATTGAGATGCTCCCTAAAGATATCAGTCTTGTGATAGGTTTACTTACAGGTCTCTGTAGATTAGATTACCATGGTAGAAGATTAAATCTCTCCTTCAATCATGCCTACGCAGAAGTGAGAAAGACGATGAAAGTGCCTCTCATCATCTCTATGGAAAACAATAATTTTATTTTAAATTTTAATCAATTAATAATTATGTTTTTTATACATACCATTAAGTTTGATTTTGGGTTACCCATCTAACATTTTAGCGTAGAACTGATTAATGACTCACAAGCCTAAGATAATTTTCAAAGGTATAACATCACACATATACAGTACAATGGAATAGTGATTAAGATACAGGAACATATATATATAATATTGTCCATTTAGTTTTTAAGTTAAATAATTGTTGTAAGTACTGTATAAATTTCCTTGAATCATCAAAGAAACACAACATTCATTTATCTAATATAAATATTAATATACATATATATGTTTCTATATATATATATATAAAAACATTGAAAAAGTGTGAAAGAAATTGTTTGGTTATTTTTACTTAATTGAGTAATAAATAACTTAGTATTTATTACTCTTTTTATGAATAAAATACTTCATGAATACTGAGTTATCAATGAAGTCAAAAAAATGAAATCCAGAAATACCAATCGATTTCATTCATAAATCTGTTAACTTTAATCCCATTAACAACAACATATATTACTCTTGCAATTACTTTATTTATAATCAAATTTTAATATAATTATTACTTACTTCGATGTGATTTAGGTACCTAGGCTAATCGATTTAAAAATGCCAGCATTCACGAAAATAAGATCGCCTAATGCCTTTCACAGTGAAGTTCTTAGAAACGATGTTATTCTTCTCGAACAAAACGCTATATGTTCCTCTTAAAAATAAGAAACGCGCTAAATTCAGATTATTCAGGATACGGGCTGCTACAAAATTCCTGAAATAAAATCCAAACATAAAACAAAAGAAATCATCTTCGCAACGCTGTCGCTTCTCTTAAATTTTGTATATTTATGATTATTGCAATTAGTCGAATAGCAGAAAAAAAAAATTTCTTTAATATTCATTTAAATTACCTACGCTGCGAGATACTAAATAAACGTGCGACTTAAATTGTTGGTATCACCTTGAAATGTAGGAGAATTCTAGGCAGGATCACGAGAAAGATGTTTTATATTTCGCGATGATAATGAGCAAATCAGTAGTCTTAAAGTAATAAAGATCGCCGCAGGTATTCCCTAACATCCCAAGTACGCTAAGAGCAAGTCGGATAAATTTTCATACGGATAACTTAATTTCTCCTATCTCCACTCTTCAGAGCAGTAGTATAACCTATACCAACTAAAATTCTCCTACTAACAATAACAAATACAACGATAGGAATTGTGACAGTTAGAAAGGCAATAAATTTTCTTACTTTTTGACCTGACGTTTACCTCCGCATTGATTTTGCAATGCAACTATTGTATATTGCCCTTATGCCAGTATCTCTCACTTGCCAGTGAAGGGTATATGTGTATAGTATATCTGAGTTTTAAGAGCGAGGGGTAAATTGGAAAAAAAAAATTTTTTCGTGTTCAACAGACACAGCATGTGTCAAGGGATATTTATGTGCAATGACGAGCAAAACGGCGAGGACAAACAACAAACCCGGATAAATAACAACAAAAATATGTGATGTCGTGTGCCAAATCAGCGTTTATGCATGTACAGTAAGAGGACAATAATTTTTTCGACTATTTTAGGCAGGATCACTACGTTGAGATGTTCATTCTGTTACCAAACGACATCGCGTGCACACCTCGTAGTTAGAAGTTCAAAGATATTTTTATTTTCGTATTTGAACATCATATACATATTTTGTAAATATACTCCTTTGCAATGGCAGCAACAAATTTTTACCCGGATTATACTAACAGTCAACCAACTTCACATAACATGTACAACTATGGATCTTATTATGACAGCAGTGCTGCCTTTTACCATAGCGCCACACATCAGCAAAATAATGCCACTTGGAATCCAATGGCTTATCAGCCCAACTATGGCACATACAATTCACCAACATTTGAAACTAAAGCTCAACTATATAATGACAGTAGTTATTATAGCTGTAGTAGTAGAAGTGAACCAAGTACATACCAAGATGAAATCAAGACAGATATTAGCACGGAGGATATAACACAAAAAACACAGAAAGCGATTACTTTGGATGAAACATCACTTGCAAAATCTGAACCAAAACCACTTAAACGTAAAGCTGCATGTTTAGAGGAAACTGCTACTACCAATAGTATTGAACTACGACCCAGTACACTACGTGCTTTACTCACTAATCCTGTCAAGAAACTGAAATATACACCTGACTACTTCTACACAACATTCGAAACTATCAAAAAGAAGAAAACTGGGAAATCTTCAAGCACTGAAAGCAAAAGCAGTAATTCTCCAAACACCCCACCCACATTTGAAGACGACTATTTAGCTGGTCATGTACCACCAACACCTTCAACTCAAACCGTGCTATCGCCACTTCGTAGTGATATCGACTACACAGAAGTATGTTCACCACTAACAACAACGAAACAGTCAAGCCAAATCTATAAACATGGCGATTATCCAACACCACCACCGCCACCGCCAGCACAACCAGTAAATACAACAGCCTCGCTTTCTACATCCGCAACGACAATAGTCGATGGTATAAGTACACCACCCCTGTCACCAAATGACAAGCCTGTCAATCAACACACTCATGAGAAAAATGAAATCAATCATCAAATTTTGACAGCTAGTGAATTCAATTGGTCGAACTGTGATGACAATAGTCCCTCATCAGGTAGGCTTTAAGAAGTTTAGTTTTAATATATGTAATCTACCTGTTATTTTGTTTTATATATATTATGAAATCGCCATTATTATTATAATTTCTAATAAAGAGGTTTCTTTTAAGTTTACTTTTTGAGTTTACTTTTAAATAGTTAATTACATATCACAACTCTCACCTACTTTATAGTATAAAAAAAATTTTTTTTTGGTTGTTGTTGTAGTTCACTACTTTTCGAAACCACTCTATTGAAAACGATAGTTTTTATTAAGTAAAATAGTCCTAACTAAATTTTTTTCTTATTATTTACAGATTATAAAGACTCGAAACGTACCCGCCAAACATATACACGTTATCAAACGCTAGAGTTAGAGAAGGAATTCCATTTTAATCGTTATATAACTCGTCGACGTCGTATTGATATTGCAAAGGCCTTATCTTTAACAGAACGTCAAATTAAAATTTGGTTTCAGAATCGTAGAATGAAGTCTAAGAAAGATCGTTCTTTAGATCCACCCACAGAAGAACATGGCTTACATTTCTCAGCTTCAGCGATAGATGCTACTATGCCACCAATAAGTGCACCAATGCATGTTCCATTTATGCCACATCAAATGTTGCCTTCAAATGTACCAGCTTTTAACACCTCTTCTGCATATCCTTCTTACTTACCAAACTCAACGCAAGCAGCATATCCATCACCAATTGGTAATTATCGTATGCAACACTCTCATCACCAGTTTGGCCAAGACATCCCAGCAACTCAACCACAACCTCATCACCCTCAACAGCATCTACATCAACATGCGCATCAATTCGAACAAACCGAACAATACCATCACCAGCAGTTATACCAGCACCAACATCAGCATCATCACCAAATGCAACAGCAGCAGCAAACACCACAGCAACACCAACTGCATCAAATTCAAATGACAGCAGGATCCAACCATAGCTATTTGCCCTGAAACACACTTTCCAAGCGGTGACATGGCATGTCAATGCAGTTGGATTTACGATTCGAAGGAACACTCTCAACCGTTTGTTCGTGAAACGCAAATGGTCGAAGAGGATCTACCTTTCGAAATTGGCACAGGAGACAGGCGAAACACAACGCAAAAGGATACCGCTTACTGTGCACGCTCAATTATTTCGTGAGCGATACCGCATAGAACCTAAGCAAAATCTTTGAAAATACTTTCAACTCGGGGTGTTGGGAAATTCGGTCGGCAATGGAAACTGCTGTGCTCGAAGCCGAAACATACGCCGCTGTGCTCAAAACCGAAAATAATGCACATCAGGAAAATAATTGAAATTAAGAGTATGATTCGTGGCGGGCCATGAGTTCATAATTAGAAACTCTTAGCTGTATATATGTAAATAAAACTATATAATCTTTATAACTGATATATATCAACGTTTTGTAATAAGAGATTTAAGACTGTCACTAACATATTACTCCAGATAATAAGAAATGCACCTCTTCAATATAAAAATGAATAAAATTTTATTGTTATAATCAAAGGATAGTATTATTTTTGAAGCGTTATATTTTAATATTATTTTCAGTCTAAATTAATACTGAAACTCCAGTTTATCTTCAATAAACTCCAGTAAACTTCAAAGGCCAAAAACTACCACAATCGTAACAACTTATCAAAATCTGAACAGCTGCAAATCGTTTTCCTCCACCAATTTTTCACTTTCTATCAAAACCGATTGTTTTCCTTTGTTTTATTTTTGTTTATTTTTTTCATTTATTATATTCTTTTTTGGGATAAAAGTGTCACATTTTGGTTCCCTTTAGTGTGGAATATATCCCGATTGCGCCACCGTTTAAAATCAATTGAATTAAATTATGAAGTCGATTGGTCATTTTTCATGTCATAGAATTTGTCAATTCCATTTATCCGTTATCCTGCCAAACAATCGTTAAGGATCAGATTTTGATACGCAGCAGTACGCAAATAAATAAAATGTAATCTATTTCCTTTAATATCATGAGTTTCTGTACAGATATACTGATGAATATACAGATGAATGCAGAGGAAAATGGACGAACAGAATTATATATCACAAGTTGCTTATATTGCTAAAAATTTTTTAAGCTCAGAGAAAAGCAAATAGTCGCGAATAGTGTTTTATATTAATTAATGATCATATTACTTACAATAAAATAACCTGCTGTAAGGCTATCGTATTTTCTAAGGTCACATTTGGACCAACAACTTCTTCAACTTGATTAATCTACCTTTTCTTTTGACTGCCAATTCAAACAGAGTATCTTCAATGGATCGTCAGCTTTCAATTTCAATATTAAATTAGTCTAGTCATTAGAAGTTATTCACTAAACAAAGCCAAATCAAACCTCAAATAGATAATATATAATGCAATTACCATAGTTAATGACACTAGTGCTAAAACCCATTCTCTGAAATAATTCGTGAAACATATATGTATTTGAACCATATATGTAGGATGAAAAAAAAATGCAAGTTAACAACGCTTTCCCGCCCCCACGTTGCCTATTGTGCCCCGATTACATCCTACTGCCACTATTTCTAACGTTAACAGCAAAGATGCAGTTTTTTTATGGAAATCATCAAAAGCCACAATGTGAGACTTAAACCCACTAAAATCATCTCGTAAGAATGAATGGAGAAGATTTCCACAGTAATATAGAAACTTATTCCACTAATTAGGGGAGCGATATATGAGTAAGAGACTAAATACTTATTAGGTTTATCAAAGCCACAAATCATGGGCATGGCGTAAGTAGATGGGGTTGAAGACAAGGATGAAATCAACAGTTCCAAAAATATAGGTACTCTCGAGTAACCAGCTAGTCTTCCACGCATATATACTCACATAATTGCTAATAGCCAATCTTCTCTATCAATAATAAACTTATATGAGTTAATAATAAACAGTATTTTATCAAAGGATATTCAAGATATCAAAGGATCATCATTATACGTAAAGTGGCGTATATAAGTGCCATTATGATGCATGTACTTTAAAAGGTAAATAGTCCTCATAATCTATCAAAATAAAGAATGACTATTTAAAAGCATGATCATTTAAGGGAATATTGTCATTATACTTTTATAAAAAATGGTGTTTTTTACCAATGGCCTTTACCTGCAGAAGATGATTTCTTATTCAAAGAGGCCGAAGAATCTTACAAGAGAAGGAATCAGTTGTCAATGTTTACCACGATTTAAGCCACCAAAAAAATTTAAAGAACAAAGACTTGCAGTCAAAAAGCCGTGCAGTAATCAAAATTATTCATTGAAATAAATTAATTTAATCAAGTTTTCAACAGCAAGATTTTGAAAGTCTTCACGACCTGATTGTATGTAAAAAAATACACGCCACGTATTTTTTCTTCAATTTTGAGAACAAGAGGAAGTTAGTGACTGCCAAGTCATGACTGTAAGGCAGATGTTCCATTAATTCCACATTTAAAGTGCTTCCTTACTTCAGAAACTCTTTTCTTTGAGACGATGTGTGAAAGCTCTCATAGTCATTGTGAGGAAGATGATTGGTTCTCCTCATTTCTTCAAAAACTTCCAAAGAAATAAACGCTGCTCAAGTGGTGCAGTTGCGAATAGGGAATCCAACGAGTATCCCTCCGCAGATTATCTGATTGGTTATCACGTTATTGTCTTATTAGCAGGATCCACGTTTTTTATAATTGTCTAAAATAGAAAAAGAGATTGCTGCTGGGAAGTTCGTATCCCCTTCTGACATTAAAATGACCCCATTTTGACTTTTATTTGACGGCCGGAGTCTCTCCTGTTCAGTTAAGATCGGTTAGCACCACAAAAGATCCGTCATGATCGCAATACTATGTCAAACTGGTAGTCAATATCAGATATGTGCTATAAAATTTTTAAGATAATTAAATTAATATTAAATAATTCAATTAAGTATGTTTAATATAATTATATTGTCATTTATTAAAAGTATTGGTTTTACAAAAAATAATTTATTTAATTACATTAATTTGTAAAAAAAATTATCATTCAATTAAAGGTTTTTTAAATACAATTCGATTCAACATTTCGATCCCTCTGTAGTTGATTAAGAAGCATGCGTAAAAATACTGTAAAAGAGGTTTAGTGTAGATTAAGGGGTTCTTCATCTAGCACAGCCGCTGATTTTAACTATCTAAGAGTTAAAAAATCACAACAAGAAGGCAATAAAATGATGAATAAAGAAAGGAAAGGTCAAAAAAGGATTCTTACTACTTTCCTATTCCTAAAAAATAATACTTATAATAATGCTACTTACGTACAAATGACGAAAGAGTTATGGCAAATTGAAAAACTTTTTGTAATATTTTTAACAATAAAAATAACAAATTTTTCGCGATCTTCCAATCGTCATCGGAACGAAAATTTAGGTTCGCAGTTCTACATTTCATTCGCAAAACATCACAAAAGCGATTTTATTCGTAAATGTAAAATTTGCTAATAATGCAAAATGCTATAAGATCTATCTAAAAATTCGTGGAAAAGTGAAACCATGCAATCGAGAAAAGGATACGAACATCTCAAGGACAAGAAGTTAATCCTTTACCGTAATCCTTTTAATTTTCAAAAACAGTTCCGCCTTTTGTCAAAATATAACGTTTTCCATCCTTTTTGCAAATCGTTAACTAAAGTCCAAGGTAAATTTAGGAAAGGCGTACCATTGTCATTTCTTCAACAAACGGATTACCTACCTTAATCCTAGACTAAACCAAATTTGTGCTGTTCTAAATATATTTTTAGTCCTAAATAGTTGCGAGCACAGTGTTGGTCAAACAATGTTGGAAAGAGTAAAACTGAGAAGGAGTTACAATATAATAAAAACAAAACTCCTTTTATTTGGAAACACATTGGGAACTACTTTTCAGATACCATAACGCGAATAATCCTTTTCGCAAATTTTAGCTGATCTCTGCTATGTTTACAACCATTCCGCCTACTATGTCATTTCGCAAATCATATGAGAAAACAGATGAAAACCAGTGTCGCCTGTTCCTTTTACCTAATCTTTGCCTTAACGAGAATTGGTAGTTGATCGCAGGTATGTGCCGTCTTCATTGTTTTAACCATAATGTCGCCGCGAAGGATTTCATTATGGTCGAATTACTCGCCTTTCTTTCAAATTATGCGCTTATGCATTGGAATAAGACAATATTTGAAATATTAAATCCCAGAAGGTAAGGTTGCTTGGCTTTCTGCGGATAAAGTTCTACATTTTCCGAAAAGTAGAACGGGATTTTGGCATGACTTAACAGGATTATGACGCACGTGGTATATGACATTTACTTACTCAAATATTTTATTTCAATTGATATATATATAACATATATTGGAAAAATGGCATTGGTAAAAGAAAAATTTAAATATCTTCGTATGAGCCCTACTTAGTTGGAGACTATCTTGGTATAATATATATGTTGTAATAATATATCAATTCCGTATGTGATAATTTACTACTAATTAATCATAACTTCTTTCAACAATAGTTTCCACTTCAAATATTCATATTTGAAACATACTAAAAATTTAGTGACGTGTAATATTTCGAACCATTTTACACTAAATACATTGGAATTTTTCAGTTAAATGTTTTCATTGTACCTTGAGGAAGTTCCTAAAAACTCCTTTTTATATGAGTCTCTGCTCATGCTCCTATCAAAAACAAATTCATTTTATAAATATGCCATACAAATTCAATTTTTTATAATTATACAAAGATTCAAAATCTCACTTGGGACTTGAATTCCAACTTAAGACAATTGTCCTTACATTATAGTTTTATTAATAATTTATTAACACTAATTCTAATAATGCTAATAATAATTTTAAATGAGTATAAATTGCGTTCCCTATTAATTCGTTTATCCTAAGAAAATAAATTGTGTGATAGTTATTGATATATGCAGTGTTTTACACCTTTTTTTGTTGTGGTG